AGTTATCCCCTTGTACAATAAGGGTAATTATACACAGTTTCTTTCCTTGCTGAAAAACAACTTGCTGTATTACAGAACTTAAAAGAAAGGGAGGGGGGTGAGTTATAATTATGAAATCTTTCTAAACTCTTTAGAACAGTCCAGTGTGTAGTATCTACCTTGCCATTCCCAGTTCCAAAACCAGACTGTGACTTGGGAGCAGCAGTTCCTATTGGTCTGCTAAAGACAGCAATGACATTTTCATTAGCAGAAAAAAACCTGAGTGTACTTGAAAGGCATCAGTGCTTGGAGCACCCCACACAGAAATCACTCAATATAGTCTAGTACCTGTCTATCATAAGCAAATCTATTCTATCCCCTGAGAAGAGGGAGGGGAGAAAAAAAAAAAGGCACAGCTCCTTCACCATGCCAGAGGGTGTATTTTCTTCAACCATCAGGCTTAACATACAGTTAGAGCCATCCTGTTAAAATTTTAGCAATGGGAATGTTAAAAGCTGCAGGCTATAGAGAAAGTGCATTTCTGATAGCTCAGTATCTTCTCCCAATTACTCTTTGTCAGCTCACTCTCAAGATCCATATCTCACTGAAGGTCAATTGTGGTTGAAAACATCCAGCACAGACTCATTCATGATAAGAGTAAAAATAATGAAGACACAACCATCCCAAAACAGTGCATGTTCAGATCTAGCAGGAAACCCAAACAATATCCCTTTCTGATTTCAGCCAGCAGGACAAGTGAGGGACAAGGAAAAAAGAGAAAGAGGGATTGTGAGCTTTTACAGCAGCCTGTGCTTGTTGTCATGTCATCAGTTCCTTGAGTGTTTGCCCTTCTGTTCTTTTTCAGGTCTCTTCTGCAGTCTCACACATGAACTAGGAGGCAACTGCCTGAAAACTCATTCTGGGCCTGAAGAACAGGCAAGGAAGCCATGGTCGTCACCTTCCAACTCATTTAGAAGGGCAGATGGTTTTTTTTTAGGGAGTGGTAACACTCAAGGTTTTAGCCTTGCATATACTGAGGTGTTCTGGTTTTTTGGTTTTTTTCCTGTCTGAAGTTTTGTGAGTCGAGACATTCAGAAAGCAGAAATACAAAAACCAATCTAAGTTGCTATACTAGCATACAACTATCGGGACAGAGGTATCACAATACAATCACAGCAATAAAGAGTCACTCTGAATTTAGCAATCTTCATGTCAAAGCAAATATATACTACGGAATGAAAACATAGTATGAAAAGTCTAAAGATATCCTTAAAACACAATTGCTGATGAACTCAGTTTTATGTGTTCTCCACAGATGTTCTCTATCACCACAGTAATCTTCTTTTTTTCCATGCAGAAAAGGATCTCTATCAATTCTATGAATCCCAGGGACCATGCGCAGCATCCTGCGCTCTCTCTGGTGGGTGTCCTCCTCAACTAATAGTCAACTGTTGCTTCTTAGCTTATGAGATCCAGGAAGACTACTCCATATAAGAAAAGAAAACAGCACAACTCAAGAGTGAAAAATAGCAAGTTCTAGCACCTGAAAGGAAAGGTAGGAAGTAGACATTTAGAAAAAATTATGTCAAGGAAATGATTTTTTAAAAATAGGAGAAAGATTAAGATTACTCAAGAGAAATTTCTGAATATGAATACAGGGATGTGAAGAATTTTTTCTTAATCCAAGGAGGACAGAAGGCAATTAAATCTATTGAGGAGTCTGCAGAGAAGTGCTTAGTTTCATTACTCTTCAAGGAGAATAATGGGAAATTCTTCATCAAGGGATGCTCTCTCATGGGAAATCAAGAAATTGCTTGCAGATAGGGAAGTCTCTAAGGAAGAGACAATTTAAGGACCTTGGCAGTTTTGAAGAAAAGCTTAAAAACAAAGCAGTGGGGTTTTGGAACACTGACCTCCTTTGGATCTCCCATCCCACAGCAGGTGAATGATATTAAGATATAGACACCACAGAACACACAAGTGTAATTCAAGGATTGCAGTTCATAGAGATTTGAGTCAAGAGGCTGGACTCTAAGACCAGTTAAGAAAAGACAAGCAAGTATTTGCAACAGTATTACTCATGCAGAACGAACCGGTGCAGCTTTGTAAAGGTAAACAAGGTGCCTTTACTGCTTTGACTTTGACAAATACCAAAGTGAAAGATCCAGCAGATATAGTAGATCTGGGCTTTTGAATCACAATCTCCAGTTAAATAATTATTTTAAGGTTAAGGTTCTGCCAAGAAATAAAAAGCAAGTTTCTGACCAAAAAAAAAAAAGGACATCTGTCTCTTCTGGAGAGAAAGGCCCTGGATATCAATGTCAGAGATTTTATCAGCGTGCTAATACTCTGAAGTCAAGAGATAGCAGGCAGGTGGATGAACTACACGCTGTCAGTAGATACCACTTTGGTAAGCTGAAAGTACCAATCCATTCAAGACAGCCACAAAAGCTCAAGATCTGCCCAGCCAGACACTTCCAGCACCTACCTGGACTCGGCACCTGCAGCCACGCAGTAGGGCTGCAAGTCAGATTCGCTCATCAATCCTACCTATAACAAATATAATCATTTTTCAGCAGGGTTAATCTTCAGTCCAGTCACTGATCTGACTCAGCTCACAGGGCAGCCGCACAATAGAGTTCACGAAACAAAGTGTCTTGTGAGAGCAGAACGTTTCTCACAGTAGCTTGAAATGACCATAAGACCATGGCCAAACAACAGCAAAACAGTTTAATATTCACTTTCCAACAACCGAAGCCACCACAGGAGACAAGACCTTGACTATGCTGTCACCAAACCATTTTTCCAAATAGCCAGGCTCCTTCTCCTGAGGCCTTTGCAGCTGGCACTCTTTGGTCATGCAAAACAATCCTTTTCCCTCTAAACACTGGACATCTATGGTTCCCAGTAAGCTTTTATATGATTTGAGTATCCCTCAGCTAATAACTGGACTGAGGCACATTTCGTGGGGATCACCAAACCATTATCGTAATTACTGAGCTGGATCAAGATTCACATTGGTGATTTAGTTGGAAAAGGTCCCATTTCAATATCCTGAACCAGCCACTCTCCATGTCTAATTTGTTCTGAAATTACACCTCAACGATCTGACACCCCCACCCTGCCTGCAGGATGAGCCTCTTCCCACACCAGTGGTTCAGCCAACAAGAGGTTGTTCCTTATTTTCTAAGGAATGCAGTTAACATTGAAGAGCTGATCCAAGGAGCTAATTTATCCCTTTCTCTAGGATGATCTTAGAAAACGAGAAAAATTCCTCCACACAGAGTTCCTGCTAAACTGACCCTTCTGACCAGGGTCTCACAGAGCAAAGAGACAGAAAATGTGAAGCGCCCAAATTCCCAGTGACCCCAAGAAATTTTCCTGGTTGATCTACACAGATTATTAGCTCCCTCAAGTTATTCTTGGTCAGTAAAACTGAGAGTGACGTTTGACCATAACTTCTTCAATTCCTTCTTCTAAGAATTATGCCAGCAGGTGATCATTTCCTCCCTCCGTCCAGAACCCGCGACAGTTCCAGCCATGCCAGGTTCACTCCAAATGGCATCTCAGGGAGCAGGAGGCACAAACACTTTAGTCCTCTCCTCCACACTTAACACACATCAGTTAAGATTTAGCTGGTGCTTGTGCTACTTTCAGCCATTCTGTGCTTAAAAGCAGGGAGGCAACACGGCCCGCTGTCTTGTTTCATTAAGGGGGGGGGAGAGGGCACTTCAGCAAGGCAACAACTGAAATTGTCACACATTGGTGCAAAGTTCCCACTAGTGCCAGGGCAATGCCTCCCCACTTCAGGCACATCTGTCCCTCTCTGCTATGGTCCACTTTCAGCTATTGGTATAAAGGTTTCTTTGACCTCCCTGCACTTAGGTTATAGATCGTGTAGATTTGTATAGGTGTTTTCTTGGTTTTGTTATTCTGCAGAACTAGAAGTCAGTCACCAGAGAGAACTAAAGCAGAGATAAAAGAGAAGAGAAAGAAGCCAGGTTTAGTGACCATAACACACTCTGCAGAGGAGACGCTCTCTAAAAGGACTAAACATCCATCCCACCAGAGCACGGTTGCAACGCACACGTCTGGCTACTAAGGTACTGTGCCAAACATGGCAGTAAATCCTCAACTGTTTGGCAGATCATCTCAACACAAACATTTCTCAAACCAAGGAACAAATGCATCCAAAAATTATTTTTCTGGGATCCACTTGCTAAGGGAATGCTTAATAAATGCAATTCGAAGTAGGCTGGTACTTCATGGAAATGCTTAAGAGTCAAAACCTTCCCCACTCCAAAATAAAGAAATAGTTTATTAGAATGTCTACGGTTCTCCAATTCAATTTATAATCTGCTTTGCAGAAACCAAGGAAGTAACTAGCCCAAGGTGCTAGCATCGGTTCTGAATACACACTCAAAGGATTCACTCACCAATTATCATTGATTCTTTCTGGTACTCTTTGCTGAGGTGGCAGCGCTGGGTCACACAGGACACGTATCTCTCCAGAACATACCAGCACATTTCATAGTAGAAAGGATAACGGAATTTGGCATGCACCTGAAAGCAAGATCAAGACTGTCAGTCCATGGGGAAGGGAGAGAAGTTTGCAGCACGAGGGCCAGTCATCATTCTCATCATGTTATCAAGAGCACAAACAGTATGCGGGAGGGGGATGGGAGAGAGGGTGGGAGCAGAGCGAGATGTATGCCTTCAGCATACGAAATGAGGAGACTGCCTGCCTGCCTGCCATGATAGCATCATTTCTTGGTTCACTAATTTGTATCCTCTTGGGGTAGTGGGAGAGGAAAGGGTTTGTGTTCTTGTGAAATCATGAAACTGATGGATGGCCCCTATGGTATTATGTACCTACTGTATAAACATAGGGTGGTCACATACAGATGTTAGTCACTAAAATTCAAGTTAAAAATAAAGGTGGGGGTTTTTATTATTTCCTAAACACTATCACATGATTTTTATCAAAATGGCAGCATTACCTAAAATGAGTCAAGCAGGAAATACATCTTTTTCAATTATGGTCTTCACAACAATTTGATAAACGAACTCACAAATTCTTCATTACTGCTAAATATACATTAAAAGTAAAAATCCCTCATGTGATTAACACTTAATATTTTGGTAGCACGTTAGCTTTTGCAACAAACAGAAGAGAAAAGCAGGATTTTGACAAAAGATCCTGTCAAGCTGTGTACTTTTTCTTAAATCTCAGACCTGTTGTTCTCACACAAAAAGCTTATTCTCCAACACTATGTATTTGTGAGATTATTACAGATTCAAAAGAAAACAAAGTGGGTTTCCTTCCTTTCGAACATAATTTTCTATCTATGGGAGGTCACTGTACCAAAGAAGAATCTGGGAAGCTCCTAAAATGCAAGAACATGTGTGTATTTGTTGTGATTTGTTAAAAATGGATGCCATCTTGCATGCACTTGTACTTACACTGTACACTTCTTTCTCCTGGTGGCACAGAAATTTGCATTTTGCAGCCTTGCATGTATGCGTTACACTGGGATTATAGGAACTGCTTTAAGATATTCTATGCATTTTAACTGCTCACCTAGCCAAGAGGTGTCCACCCACCTTTAATGAAAAGCTGGACTGCACCAGAAAGGAACATTACCTTAAAAAGCCCTTTTTAAAAAACAAAACCAAAACACCACCCCAGATCACCCAAAAAACAGTGAAGTCTAAACAGAACCACTAATCCAGCACCTGGAAACTCAGATTCAGCTCTGCAAAGCAGGCACTGTTGAAACACCTGCGTGGTGATACAAACATTGAGCACATCAATGACTCACTAGAACACCTGTATTTAAAAACTGTCCCCAAGGTGGACAGTCAAAGAACTTGCCTCTGTTCCCAGGTCGCAGGAAATGCAAACACTTTTAGTAGTAAAACAAACTGTAATGAAGGGAAAATATACCGTATTGTCCCACTAAACGTATCGCAGTGTAGGATTTAAATGCTCCATGGCAATTCCCAAAAGTTAAGTTCTCTTAAACTCAACACAAATGCAGCTGGCAAATCTGAACTGCATGTTGCTATGGGTCACACATCCAGCAATGCTGTACCTTTTCAAATGTTCCAGTGTCACTTGTTACAAAGCACACGTACCAACAAAAAGAAGGAAAAAAGGCAAAAACCAACCAACATCCCCCTAAATGTGAGAACATTTAACCCCAGGGCTTTTTTGCAATGGAGAATATTTTTCCTTTGGTTTAGTTATTTGTCATAAAGAAGAGATCGAGTCACTTATCACTATTACGGAACACAGGGGAAATTAGCCATGCTAAAATATTGCTAATAAAGGAACTCAAATTTTTCCAAGAGAGCACTGCAGGAAACAAAATTTGCAAAGAATTGACTTACAAACAGGAAGCCGCCTTCCACCCCTCAGCCTTCAAAAGGTTTTCAGCCACATGCCTGGGAATATTAAAGACATCATTGCTCAACATTTGTTGACAGATTCTGAGCTTCACCAAATTTAGTTGTTACCAATGTTAATTCAATGTGAAAGACAAGGCAGTAATGCATGCAGTGCTCCCATTATGTATATCAATCTTTAATATTCAATTTGAGTTCCTAATTGCCTCACTATCAATGTTCCAACCCACAGCAAATCCCTCCATGCCTCTGCAATTCACTATTTGTCCGAAAAGGCTCTGCTTTTACAAACCTTCAGAAGTAAGAGCTACCATCTGTAGCAAGAGATACTGTGCAAAGATCTACAGTGCCTTTTGCCAGTAAAGCAAGTCTAACAGCACTTTAAAAATCTTTTAAAGTTTGCCTCATGGAGAAGTATAGAGGAGTACGTTCTTTATGATACCCTTGGACATTTATCAATTATAATGGATGTGAACTGCATTATGTACGTGTCCATACTTTTTCCATTGTACACTTATGGTCAAATGAACTCTTATGGGGAGGAGGGATGGGAATAAAAGAAAGAAAGAAAGAAAGAAATTAAAAATGTCCTGTGATGAATTTAAAGTGTAATATCTGATACGGACACTGCCAGAGGACTAAATCCCCCACTAGCAGGGAAATACACTGTATCATCTAATAGGCATTTCCAGCTCTAACTTCTGTGATTAATAATTTACAATCCACTGAATACATTTTTTAATTATTCCTGTATAGCGAGAAAAATCCTCTCTGGAATATGATCCATTTCTTCAGTTCAAAGTGAAATTGTTTGCGACTTATATCCCCCTCCAAAAACAAAACAAAAAACCCTAAGCAAAGCACACATTTGCCTTGAGAAAATAGTCTCTTCCACAATGTCCATTAAAATCATTACAAACTCCACTTGTGTTTAATCAATCTAATCACAATATTGAAAAACAATTTATGATTATTTACAAAATAATTAATCTATCCACTTAAAACATTATCTTACATTCCAGAAAACAAAACCAGTAGCAAACACCATCATCTGTGAGTGACCACCTTACGTATATATTTTGAGTACTTTTGTCCCTACCCATGTTCAACTATTTCAACACAGTTAAATTTAGATGAGTTGGGAGGAAGTTTGACACATTCTTCCTCTTCAGTAACACAGAGCTGTAACCCCCCCTATGCCAAGATGACGAATCTCTGCATAGCAGCCTGCTTTGCAGTTATTCAAGCTGGTCTAGCAGAGAACTAAACAGCTTGGCCTATTTGACTAGCTGTTAATTGGCCTCTAAGAAAGCCAGACTGCAAAATGAGAGTATCTACAAACTGTAAGGCTGGAGAATATTTGTTTACCTCAATTGCACATTAGGAGCTGTTTCCAACAATAGACATGTTTTTTATTACTCCTTAAAACTATTTTTAAATGGCTATAACCCTCTTAAAAAGTCTCCCAGGGATATGAGGAATTAAGCTAGAATAAGCATGACAAGTATATAAACTAGGCAATTTTATCAGGCTGTAAATCAGTATGACCGTTTCAACCATGTATTTATTCTTGTCTTAGCTGCTAAGACAATAACAACTACACCTAGCATAAAAATGACTGAATATCAGCAGAGATGATTAAGCATTATATAGCAGGTTTAAACACAGTGAAACCTCCATAAAATTGCTCTGTGCAAAATGAAGAGGGGAAACACACCTGTATTACACTTTGATTTGAGTGTGGCAAATTACTTTGTCAATCACATCATGTAATTTACTTCTGCGCTATACACAATGGGAAGATCAATACTGATGAGAAACTCATTTGCAGTACGTTCACACTGGCAAATTTGTGTGAACTCCATACTGTACCGAGTATGCTGTACTAGCCAGTGTATGAATAGAATTATGTGAACAAAGAAATTACAAAATTTGATTGACAAAGAATATGAAGTAGTACACACTAGAATCCTACTTTGAAAACATTTACCCTTTCAAGATTCCTGCATGATATTTTTAGGTGTGGGGATGTGCATGTGTGTGTTGTTATTTCTAAGTAACAGTAATGATTTTCCTGCCTCATATGAAACTTCTGTATGCCTTAGTTGCATGGCTTATATTTTGTTTCTGTCTAGAAATTCTTGCTATTCTTTGACTGTTCACACTGCTTTGTTACACAGCACAAGTTTGTAAGCACAGGTACAGGCTGTGCGTAACACATTGCTGGCACACAACAACATACAAGCGCTGAAATTGCTTTTCTGAAGTCATGGAAACTCTGGGCTGTTGGCTTTCATTAGTCTTTTTTTAAAGCACTTAGGTATTTTTGCAGGGAAAATGATAAAGAACTACATAGACTTTGAAGAAAATCTAAACAAAAACTGACAAGAGTAAAGGTCTGATTTGGGGCTTGCAAATGTTGCAGCATCCCTTCCCAAAAAACTCTGACAGGAGATTTTCAAAGAGGCACACATCCAACTCAGAGAACTTTCCCGTAGGATCAAGGTGCTAGTGACTTTTCAACAGCATTTCAGCGTAACTGGCTGGTAAGTTCCTAAAAGTTACCAAAATACTTGATTGTTATGGGGAAATCTACCTCCTAGTATAAAAGCTTAGGAGATCAAAGCTGCACCCAGCTTCCCAAAGAGAAGGGCCTGACACGAAGCACCACTGAGCAGTTACAACCCCAGGTGTGTGATCTTGGGTTGCTCAAGTCCTGTGGGAACAAAATGTCAGCTCTTCTACTACTTCATGAAAAAAACAAAGTAACTTGTTTCTGGCATCGATCCTTTCTCCCAGTCCTCACTTCTCCATTCTCCAGGCAAGATGCCTGTACTAGCATCCTTCCTGGCAACACCACACCCTCCCCTTGAGCATGTGCAGCATATATATCCATATATATCTCTGAAAACCTTCCTGTGCCTTGCACCTCTGTCTAGCCACAGTGAGCTCCTTCCTGCTTCTGCCATCATAACTTTTTCCTGTCTCAAGTCCCTTTACTTTTTAAGACACTTGGCTGAACTCCACTCTGGTCTCTACCTCCACTTCTGCTCTCTGCTACATTCCCTCTGTTCTAATTCCCCTGAATTTCAGCTTTTCTCTTCATCTCTCTTCCACCAAGAATTCATTTTTCTGCTTAATAGTCCTTCTCTTCATTAAAATCACTCCAGGAAACCAACTGCTCCCACCACTGTTCTGCAATGTGAAGATTACCAGGCCTCACATCCCCTGCAAAGTAAGGGAGCAGTCCCTTCCTAACACAACACTGACAGAGAGAGGCTGGAGGGAGGACACCCTTCCTCTCGCTGAGTCAAAGATGCATTTTGAAACAATACATATTTGCTTCAGGCCTATGCACTTGCATTGCAAAGAGAGCGTTCTGGCATAAAAGCCCACTTGGAGCCAGAATTGTGCCCTCTTGTAGAGGTGAACAACAGTGAACTGTACTGATGTCCAAGACATACTATTTTAAGACTTTCTGTGAAGAATTGCAACTTCTTGCCATTTTGCCAGCCCAAATCTCCGTTAACACCACAGCTAGCACTGGTGCCAGTGGTTCACCAGCACCGTCTCAGTGCAATGCCTCCAAACCAGTCAGCCACAAAAAGTCACCATCTGAATTTGCACATACCACTGGTCCATTTTTGCATCAGAATGCCACGACTGCCTTGCACAGCTTATTTAATAGCTTACTAAAACAGTGGCACTTGCTTCAGATTCTGCTACTTTACGGAACTGCAAAGTATATGACAACCAGGTGTCCCATTTATTAATCAAGGATAAAATTTTCACTCCCAACAAAGAGGCCGCACAGTAACCTCCTCCAAGATGTAATACTCTTTCCATCGGGTAGATGCTACAGCCAGACTAACACCACAATGTTCAGATTAATGTCCCACCCTCTCTTTGTTCCAAGAAATTCTTGCACAGTGTCGAGTCACTGCAGAAGAAAATCCTGCAAAGCACTGAAGATGCCGTTTCATACACAACTTCTGCGCAGCTTGGTCAATTCAGCTGTGGACGGTAGAACCCTGCTAGTCCCACTAGTTCTCCAGGCTCTGGCATCCATTCCAGGTGTGCACAGAGAGATGGGGGGTTACCACAAGTGCTGCTACAAAGGTCTCTAAAGCGCAATATGTTTTTGTGCAAAAGGGAAGGTGCTTATGAAAGTTTAACAGGCAGACAAAAGACACAGAAGGGATACATCTGTGGGAAGTAGGGAAAACCGATGAGTAAATCCCACTAAAAATAGCCAACATTTGAAAGTCTCATTACTTCATGTTTACCTCGTTTCAACGACTCTGACATGGAGATCCCGTCAGTTCTTGTTTGTCAGAAGGGCATACGAGAGAGACACTATGACAGATCATAGTCACAAAGAACTGTTCAGTTAAAAAGAGAATCAAGTATCCTTACCCTTGTTCTGTCCTCAATTTCATAGATGCGAAGCTGCATGGGAACATTAAAGCTATGCAGGATATTTCCACCAAACACCAGAGAATCTACTGGAGTATAAACCGCATGTATCCACCCTAGAGAGGGAAAGCAAAGAACTGAGAATGCCTCATGCTATGTAGTATTACAGAGCAATTTATAATCAAATTTTAACAACCCCATGAACCCCATTTTGCAGGGGATGAGAGGTTAAAGCAGTGAAAGGTTAAATGGTATGCTCGTAGCCACACTTTTAAGAGTAGTCATAGCAGAACAGCATCTTATGATGTACAGTCTTACAACCCTCTATAAATTGGGTTCTTCTATTTATTCACAGAACAGCTACAGTGTTTACTGAGAACACACAAGCTTGTGACTCAAGCACATCCATGACTAAGAAGTAAATTCAGCCTGTTCAGTACACTCGACTCTCCGATGTATCTACTGGCACCCCCAGTAGCGCTGCAAATCACGTTAGCAGTGGTGGTGGGCTAGGGCTGTGCAACTGGACTGAGTCACATCAAACTTCTTTCACACCAGCACCAGGGCATACATCTTCAGATGTCAACAATTTCAAATTACTATCAGCCCTCCTTCAAAGGGGAAAGTTTCATATCCTATTATCAACTTCCCGAAGCAACCAAAAAATCTTTTTTGCTGCAAGCTGCAAGTTAAGGAATTTAACATTTCTAGTATTGGAGCTGATGAGACTGTTCTGACCCAATCCTGCAAGGGACTGAATTCATTTCACAGGTTCCAAAGTGAGGGAAGAATTTTCTATCACAACAAAAATCCAGGCATAGCAATTCAGGCAGCCACACACCAGCTCTTCTGCTTCTGCATTGTTTGCTTGGTATGTCCGCAGCTGAAGGACCGGCTATGCAAGACTGTAGCCTCTGATCTCTGCAGTGAAAAAGGAATTGATCCTGCTAATGATCTGGGACCCACAGAGACCTGACGCTTTTTTTTTTTCCCCTCCTTCTTTTTTAATGAAAAGCATTACAATTTATAAACCAGCAGACAGCAAAGCAACATAGGGGGCAGTCAATTTTCTCCTAACTGTGCAGTACTTTCCGTTAAAGCTGTGGCAGCTTTCCTTCACTTCAAGATCAGCAAGGGAGCAGGAAAATGCCATTCAGCTAGCAGCCACAAAAGCTCTCCTCCACAACAATCTTTACACCGTATAGGCCTGCAAAGCTGTATCTGAGAAGTCCTTGAGCCACAGCAGATGGCAGAACTGGGGCTTTCATTTAAGGGCATAGTGTTAGGAGAGACACAGGAAGGAAAAGAAATCAGAAATTAGAATTTTCTCCCTGGAAACACAAGCTCATCACTCTGGATACACTTTTCTGAATTTCAGAATCACAGAATGGCTGAGGTTGGAAGGGACCTCTGGAGGTCATCTGGTCCAGCTCCCCTGCTCGAGCCTGGTCACCTAGAGCCAGCTGCCCAGAACTACGTCTGGATGGCTTTTCAGCATCTGCTAGGACAGAGACTCCACAACCCCTCTGAGCAACCTGTTCCAGTGCTCAGTCAATGTACAGGTCTGATTCCACAAGATAAATGTGACGCATATAAAAAAGCCAGTGGCTCATAGCTCTGGCAGCTCTCTGTATTACCGCATCTTTCCTGCTCCAGTTAGTATAATTTCAGTTACAGAGTTGGTCATAATGATCCAGCCCGTTTATTACTTCCAAATCAAGACCAACCAACCAGAGAGGATTTTTTTTTCCATGTAAGGGTAGTGTTGCAACTACACACATCAACACCATAAAAACTTCACAGTTGAAGTAGATCATCACCTCACATGAAATACATCAGTCTGTAGTAACAGCAAACTACTGGAAAAATAAACGATCTTCCTGATCCCAGTCTTTGGGAAGGAAAAAAAGGTCCGAGGTCAAGGAAGTTGGGGATACTGCTTCCACGAGGTAATCAACGGTTTACATGGTTGGGGGAAAGAATGGAAACCACATGCTGAAGGTCCCCAAAGCCAACTTATTGGATAGGTGCTGAAACACAGGGTCAATTTGTGTGACAATTCAGCTTAATTGTCAGTTTTAGAGATGAACAAACTGATGCTCGAAAAAGTGAAATGACCTGTCCATGGCCACACAGCTGAGTGGTGGCAGGAGACAGGTCAGAAACAACCAGTTATCAACAGAACATTGAAGAGTCCTCACCACTACTTCCCACTGCAGTTCTCTCGGCACAGATCAGTCAATGTACAAACATATTGGAGCTGGCAGATGCAACAAGCTATTTTAATGGAATGATCAACATCGTTCTAAATACAATTTGTTATCAAATATTTACAACTTAAGTAAAAGGAGTAACTGAGCTGAAACCTGGCTTTCTAGTCTGATATGAAAGGTAGAAAGGAGATATCCTTCATTTTATAAGAAATAAACTGACATCCATCAATGCAGTTGTTCCTCAAGTGTAGGCTTTTACTACAACCACAATAGCTTCCTCCTACAAATTATATTTCCTCAGTGAAAATTTCACACTGGAGTGTACTTGGTTTCCTTGTTTCTTGCTCTTTGGGTTTCAGTCTCATCACGCCTTCCCTGACCTCTCAACTCCACCCAAACTAGACGCCAAGGGTCTTTGTGTTAATAACCTCTGACTTCCTCAGTAGCAGTCCCAATGTTTCTGGGAGAAATGTGAAAGGATCTATCGCTGGCTTGAGCCAATGCTCCAACAAATGGTGTCCCAGACATGACAAACCCACAACAGAAAGATTAATGAATATGAATATAGTTTCGATGCTGTATTGTTGAAGAGCCGATAGAGGTGCAAATGGAAAGTCTTCACTAAAGTATCTGAGACAATCTCTGGTTCTGTGGATAATGTATTTAATTCCCTTCTTACATTTATAATCCACGTCTAAACTCATTTTACAACCAATTAGTACCTTCAACTCCTAACTTCTGAACTAACTCAACACTAGGTCCTTCAAAACGCACATAGTTCTAATAACAAGACCAAAAATACTGCTTTTTACGACACAGTTCTCAATAACAAAACCCTGTAATAACAAAGCGGTAAAATCCATCCAGGTTGGAAAATAAAAATAAACCGGAGACCAAGCAAGAAGCAGAAAGTCATTAACTGTAAAGTCCTTGGAAGTAAAGTTCCTGCCCCTAGCCAAAGCAGAACGTGGGATGATTTCCAGCACAGCTCAGAGATGGGTAAGGATGATGCCTGTGGGTCATCACTGTGGGCGCTTCACTGTTAGAACAGTGTTGAGCTAGGCACACAGCTAGGTCCCAGGGAATCCCTAGATCTCCAGCAGTTCATGTGCTCCCACATGCAGGATCCAGCTCACAGCACCTCTGCCAGCTACAGGACTCAGCCCTGACAAGGAGTCACCTGCTCCTAAGATAGATTTTGGCCACTCAGCTGTACAGCATTTTTCAGTCACACTGCATCCCAAAATAGTTTCGACTTGCCTGAGGAACGCATGTGCAATATTGAAATTGCAGAGACACAAGCACCAAAAAGTGTATTCCAGGGACGCAGGACACTATGGGCAAGAGTAGACAAAAAAGATAGAGAACTGACAAGGTAGAAAACCACAGAAGATTGGCACAGATGTTACAAAGGGGAAAAAAAAAAAGTCTCCTGTTCTACTATTAACAAGGCTGTGTACAGAGAAAAACTGAAGAGGCCAGCACCAGAAAATTAGAAGGAGGAGGAAACAGATACAAGTAGAAAACAGGAAACAGTTTCCATGAGGGTAATACGTTGTGGAAAGGAGCTCCAAGAACAGATAAGCTTGGATGGCACATTCAATTCATTCCCACAGCTTAGATACAAGCACAACTCAGAAATAAACTGAGGAGGATGAATGTTCAACTGCGACCATTTGCAAACACGAACACCCATCTCCTAAGCTTCGCAACTACAAAGGTTTTTAAAGAGGAAGACAGACCTCCAGAACAAGAGCAAGGTGCACATATGCATGAGACAAGGACGGCCAAGGGGATTGCTGTAGTATCGCGCACACCAATACATCCCACCTCTCTCACCTTCAGCTATGCCGGTACTTTTCACCAGATGATTTGACAGGTCTGTCGACATGTATGATCACCTCACTCTTCACTGGACAGCCTGTCGTCTCTGCTTATACGTATCTGCATCTTTCAGCTCTCACAGCAAAAACTTGTCACGCAGCCTCCGATACAGACACCTCTGAAGCGAGTGGCACCAATTCTCTCCTCAGTGACTGCCTTCTACTGTTTACATAAACCCTGGTACTACTACTACTGCACAACCCTGAATGTTTCATGGGTTAGTGCAAGACAGGAGATAATATCTCTCCCCTTAGTAATACTCTCAAAAACTGTAATATTCTCAAAAAAAGGGAAAGCAACACAGAATAAAATGCCACAAATTTCATTCTGTCCTTAATGCTAAAAAAAGCACTGGAGTAATATCAGAACAAATGGATTAACGACTGAAAAAGTCAAACGTCAGTGGAATGATACTATTTGGTTTTGGCTGAAAAACACTTCTTCAAAGTGCTTCACAAAAGCACCTGCTAAACATTATCTAAGGCTACAATTACATCCTATAGATGAGAGAAAGACATACACTGTGTGGCTTCAAGGATTAGTCACGACTTAGAAAACTCTTCCTCATGGGTGACCAGTTTCAAACCAGCCTGTGTTACAGCGGTAACGACCGAGTGAGTGCGGAACCAGCCTGTCCTTCCTTCGCAGGCTGGTCCCACGGCTTGCGGCTGGAGCACGCTCTCAGTGTGGCGCAGCAGCCACCGTGCAGTCCTGCCCTTCAGACCACACACCAGCCGCGAGCTCAGCTAAATGGGGACAGATGGCTTTGGGTGTACAGACACTGCACACTCACTGTTCACAACCCTCATTTCAAGCCTCAGCAACAAGACTGTCCACTTATGCTTTTTCTGAAGTTGATCTTTTTTATTTCAGTTCTTGGTGATTAATGAGTACTTTTTCCTCCCCAAAACAATCCTAGCTTACGAAGCCAAGACAACATTGAGCAGGAATTCTATTCAGGAGGCTCAGAAATACTCTCAGCTGATTTACAGTTACGAATTATTCCACCGCTCCTAAGA